GACAAAAAGAGAAAGAATTAAATTCGTAACCAATGTGATGACTATACATATATTTAGTGCCAAGACACTATCGTCTTCAGATATTATAATTAATCTGTGTATATTTTATGTTACATTTTTATTTTAATATTTTAAATACATTATTTATAAAGAATAAATTACTTTACCTCACATACAGATGAATTTTTTGACGGTGTCCAATTTTTATATTTGCCATTTATACTCTTTAACCAATTCATTCGGCGTTCTGTGTCTTTCGGAATTATTTTCATAACATATCCTTTTTTTAATAAATTGTTACAAAACAGTATTATACATCCATATTTCTAAAATAATTTCGATAATTTTATTTTTATCAATGTACCTTTACGTATCTATGTCATTCAATGCTGTTGCACTTAAAACTGACAGTTTGTTGGATAGACTGAAACCGTATATCTCTTTCTCTCTCGTAGAATTTCGCTAAAATATGATGTCATCTCTCGTATGACGCCACTCTGATTATAGGCTCTTTATAGTAATAGTGTTTATGGCGCCATCTAACCTACCTAAAATTAATATAATCTTTACAAATATCTATCGATACAAAACTGACTTTACTGATTTGTAATACCGGTCGATTGATGCAGCTGATCAGCAAGTCGATAAACCTCAAAAATTGTTCCGAAATGTAACAGCGGAGTATCTTCGTCAAAGTTATGTTAGATTTATCTACATGGTTATCGCACGTGTAGAACACCGCAAAGGTATTTATAACCTCAAACACATTTTCCTGAATTACTTTACGCACACTCTGATTTGTAATGATTTTTTTAAATAATTAAATTAAATTAAAAATATTTTTTTAGTAGCTAATTTTATGTCTCAAAAATCTCTGTATGATATTTCCAGACCAAATGAATTACAATTAGTTATAATGCGAAATACATTCGCGGCTAAATTGCTTGTGCACAGAATTCACCTAATTTCACCAATCCTTACGTCGTATCGCAGTAAGCACTTTCAGGCGAAACAGATACTAAAGATGAACGAGGCATTTCTCCGTTACGATAAAGGCAACGATACATTTGACATCTCATTTCGCTATGTGGACGAGATGACGAACATCGATCGTCAGTTCAACTTTTCCAGACAAATTATGGAAAGTGTGAACAATTTCCTCAATAGAGTCGAAACCAACGTTTGCAAGATTGTAAATAAAAAAGTGAGTTTTCTTCTTGTTTTCTTTTCTTTTTCCTTGTTATTAGATTTTTTATGTTATATTATTTTTAATAGAATAACTGTAAGTGTATACTACAAAAAATTTTTCTAAACAAAAAATAAAAATCCAAAGTAAAATTTTTCATACAAATTTTAAACAAATTAGGTATTGAAATCTAAAGAATTAATATTTCCAGAGATAAACTTTAAAAAAGAAATATCTGAGAGAAATAAAAATTTTTTCTGTAGATAGAAAGGAAAAAGAAGAAAAATGCTGCTTGTGAGGTACTTAATTTGACAAAAGACAATGTGAATACTGGAAAGATTATGCTTCTCAAAAATGATGTCAAAGTGGATGGTGATACATTGTGTGAAAGCCTTTTGCAGGATTCTGCAGAACTAAAACTGGTCATTTTTGAAAAGACCTTCTTAGTAAAACGAAATGCACCTTATATCACCAAAATTTTGTTACCATCATGCATATTGGCAGGTTTTCCGACTTATCCATCCAAATTTGAATCACTATATACTGACACGAAGCGATCGATATTTGACTGGTACAGAAACGATTCTCTTAACAAACCAAATTCGTGGACACATGTAGGTAATGGATATCTATATGTACCCAGCGTGACTGATATTGGTCATCATTTGAAAATTAGCTGTGAACCTCGGAATGAGTCAGATTCAGGTTCTAGGATGGAAATACAGTCAAAAAATGTCGTGGAAGCCGGTCCTGGAGAATGTCCTTTCGATATTCGACATCAGTTTACAAAACATAAATTATTGGATAGGAGGTACGGTACTCATAAAAGATGATAAATTCGAAAGAATAAAGTATTGGAAGAATCTGTATTATATGTAATATAACATATATTAATATGACATGTACTAAGTATTTTACTTGCAAACTATTATATTAAACAAGGAAAAAAAGTTTCAGAGTAATAAGTTATAATATACTGGCAGATACATATGCCGATTCTGATTTTTCTAAAGATGTATTATTCCCATACTGTCCACAGTATGCGTTAGATATGGATTACAGAAAACAGTTGATACTTAAAGAAATAATAGGTGAGTGATAAATATAATCTATATGAGTTATTTAAATCGTTTTATTAAAAACGCAAAATATTTTAAATTATTTTTATATAAAAAAATAAAATTAATAAAATAAATTAATAAATTTATATTAGTTACAATAGTTACATATTGTTCATAAAACTGACGAAACTTTCCGAAATTTTTTAATATTAAAACAAAATGTTATTAAGTTATTGAATGAAGCAATAGCAACAATTTATAGTCATTTTCGTAATTTTAATATTGATGAATTTATTGTAGGTTTTAATAGTGATATAATTTGCTTGCAAGAGGTAGATAAAAATATATTCGAATATGATTTATTGCCTTCTTTGTACATGTTGAATTACAACGGTGTGTTCGTTACAAAGAATGAAGTTAATGAAGGACTCGCCACATTTTTCAATCAAGATAGATTCGAACAATTAGGATTTGAACGCAGCATAATAGCTCAAAATGTTGATTTACCTAAATTTGCTGCCATCTGGTCTAAAATCGACAATGACAAAATGAAAGAAAGATTTTTGAGTAGAAATACAACCATTCAGGTAATTACTTATGATATAATTAGGATTTTAAGTAGATATATTATACTCATTGGATAAACGTTAGCAATGATTTAGGTAACAACGTTACGATCGAAAGAGAACCGATCTGAAATCTTGGTAGTCGGCAACACGCATTTATACTTTAAACCTGATGCGGATCATATACGTTTGTTGCAAGGATATTATGCAATTACATACCTACACGATGTCGCGAAAAGAATACAAAAAGAAGTAGATTTTTCTCCAATAAAAACCTTTTACATTCATAAATATATTCAGAAAAATATTTAGAAATAATATTTTGACATTTTCGCAAATCATATATATCTTATAAAAAAGTCTCTATTATATTACAATTTATTAACAATTGTCATGCATGTTGACAGAATCCCGAATGTAACGTGAGCGTGATATTTTGCGGGGATTTTAACAGTGTGCCGGAATGCGGCATTTATCAATTGATAACGAAGAATTACGTTTCAGAAACTTGCGAAGACTGGAAAAGTAGTGAGTGACTTTCTTTAATTTACTATCAGTTTATGAAAGCTTGTTTCTTTCTAATTTCGTTGTCTGCTTATTTTGTTATTCAACCTGATGCAACCAAAATCAGTACGTCTCATGAAATGAGAAGAAAAATTGTGGTTTTTTTTTAGATACTGAGGAAACTGTAAAAAACATATCCTTAAGACAGGACCTTTGCATGTCTAGCGCTTGCGGCGTGCCGGAATATACAAACTATACGCCAGAATTCTCTGCCTGTCTAGACTACATATTTTATGAGAGAGACAAGTTCGAAGTAGAACAAGTGGTTCCGATGCCCAGTAAGGAAGAACTTACTCTTCATACAGGTTTGCCGTCCGTGGTGTTTCCCAGTGATCATATATCTTTATGCGCTGATTTAAAATTGAAAGGATAATAAATTGTGAAAATTACTAAATGATATCTCTAAAATATCTATAGTATATAATTAAACATGTAATCATTAAATCTGTCTACATTCACATATGTGAGAAAATATACAAAAAAAATGTTTGTAGTCATCATCAAGGTTTACAAAAGTGTTTATAAAATTTCTCTTCTCGCATCATTGTGAAATTTATTATTTTTAAGCGCTCGAAGCTTGGATAATTCTACAATATCTGAATTATTTATCCCGTCTTTCATTATTTAAAAATGAATATGTTTTTCGTAATATTGCCAGATTAATTTATACTGTATATCAAATATCTGAAGTTAAAAAGAAAACATAAAAAAAAATTTTATTATAATATTTAGATTACCTACTTCTTTCATTATGTATTATTACATATGGTATGCGTGCGTGCGTGTGTATGTGTGTGTGTGTGTGTGTGTGTTTTTATTTGATACCAAAATAAAAAGAATATAAAGAAAGAATTATAATATACAAAGTAATCAGATACAATACAAAAATAGACTTAAAGACTTTTTAATATAAAATATGTATAAAATACATAAATTCATGCTTATACATTTGTACAACATTTTTACTTATAAAATATTTTGTATACAAAATAGCTATGTTCGGAAACATCGCTCGGATACCTCCGATGTCTCGGAATCATCTGTCCTTACTTACATTAAATATTAAACAAGGACAGATGATGATTCCAAGACATCGGAGGCATCCGAGCGACGTTTCTGAACGCAGCCATTATAGGCAATCGATTTGTAGACAAAAGCTATCTCCATCAGGTAAAAAATAGATATTGTTGTGTAGTTGACATCCACTTCTTTAGAGAGCAGTAACGCGCAGGGACATTTTGTGATTATAGGAAAAAAAGCCCTCATGTCCTCTCTCGTTTCTCTCTGGTATGTATATATACAATATATGTATATATAGGATCCATAAGTTTACAGGTCCCATAAGTTTTTGCCAAGCACTTTTGTGTAGATAGAGCGGACTAAACTGAGTCAGTCTTCATTTTGCAATTTTCGCAATAGTTTACAAAATATTAATTACTAAAAATTGTCGAATATTGGTCTTCAATAATTTTTTACTTAAATACTATTAATTTCACAGAAAAACTGTAAGAGACAAAAATTTTTTATTAACTTTTTAGTACTACATTTTCTTATTTTTACAAACATGAGAAAATACGATATTAAAAAATTCTGAAAACATTCTCAGAACTTTACAAGAAGAAAATAAACAATTTTTGTCTCTTGCAGTTTTTCTGTAAAATTGATAGTATTTAAATAAAAAATTATTAAAAATCAATATTCAGCGATTTTTTTTAATCGCTAAAATTAATATCTCGTAACTAATTTCGTTAATCATTGCGAAAATTGGAAAATGGTAGATGATGTTTCGACTCAGTTTAGTCCGCTCTACCTACACAAAAGCGCCTAGCAAAAACTTACAGAGATACCCTCTATAAAATTGTAATATCAGAAAATCATATAATCCTGAGAAATAAAAAAAATAACAAAATAATTAGATTTCCGCAATAAATACATGCTACGTAATTTTATAACTTTGTTCAGTTGAGTAATATCAATTAACAAATAACAAAAAATTGTTTTAAGATACGAAACAAATCATAAAAGGATACTATTAATGAAAAGAAATATATATATCAGAAATACAATCAAGTTTTTATAGTTTAAAACAAATCCTTCAGGTGTACATTATTTCATTTATGGTCATCAAAGTATACATCATATTTCAATAATACAGAAAAATGACGTCACTTATGTTTACAACTATAGAGTTAATTTACAAAACTTATATACAGATTAATTGTTACCTTCTTCGACGGCTCGGCTCGTAAAGGTCTGCAGATAATATAGAATTTCAAATTTGAACCACAAATTTTCTATCTTAATATGCAAAATCGTTTTTTGTATCTTCTACTTCAAGAGAAAAATTGAAATTTTTGTATTTGCTTTTTTATCGTCCTACAATTATATTATTGATGAAATTATTATCTTCTTTATTAATATATATATATATTTTTTTTTCTTTTCTATCATAAGATTCGAAAATTGTGATTGTTACATTGCTTTACATGAAACACTTTGTATAGACTCGTAATAATGGTGATTATTTAACTTTCATAATTATTCTAAATTGCAAGTTTGTAAAATTTATAAGTTTTCTCATTTTATCTGATTTAATTAAGAAAAAGCAAGAACATAAATTATTTAATAACCAATTATAATATTATAATAAATATTATAATAGTGTAGTAAATAAAATGATAAATTTAATCATAAATTTTTACAACTGCATTTTGCGAATTAAATAATCTTATTTCAAAATATCAAAAATCCAAATTCTGATATTTCTTGTACAGTCTTAGATTTTTTAACGAAATTATTTAGTAATTCGAAGTGTATAAGTATAATTATATAAACGCAAATAAGAATGTTTATGCAAAATTTTATACTTTTATTTTTTAATCAATCATTTAATTTTATATAACTTGATTAGATGTTCACTTCAACCTCAATGTCTTTTAATATAAGAGCACCCAATTTACCTACGGTTTGAAAAATGAAATTTATCATCTACTTTAATTGGTCCATTTTTCGGTACAATAATAACTGGTGTAGAATATCTCGACACTAAAAATTTTATTGTATTTTACCAGTTGAAGAGAATAAAATTTTATATAGTGTGAGAATTACATATTTTATATATGTTGATCACATAACACAACTGCATTTATTGTTTGTTAAAATGCTAATCGTGTCTTATTCTAATGTAATATCATATAAATTGTAGAAGAGTACTTTATCGCGAAATAACTATCCGAATAGAAAATTTCTAATACCTGCAAACCTCCTTTTTATCACACACTTTGCTTCTGCTTCCGTATAAATGTAACAAATCTAAAGTGTATCTAAAGTAATTCTCTAAGTTGTGTTATAATCATTACAAACATACCTTAATCCTTTCCTTCCTAAATATAAGTATTTAATAACACATAATTATGGGAATTATTTTTTATACTCTTAAATAAACTGAAAATAGAAAGATTCAAATTAGATATATTTTTTCTTTCAATTTAATATTATTAAAGTTGTAAATATAAGTTAAGAAGAATATAAAACAAAAAAGTAGTAATAGAAATTAGATAAAATTAATTAATTAGGCGATAACAAATTCACAAGAATTTTTATTCTTTAATATTTAAGTGTCTTATATATTATAAACTTAATACGTGAATTGTATTAGGAATAAAAGGATTAGGTGCATACCTTTTCTCCTTCTTCATTCAAAGTGACTATTATGAACGATCGACTGAATATCTCATTAAAACATTTAAAAATACGTTATGCTATTTCAATCGCGAATATAACATATTGATATACATAAAATGAAACATTGCGCCGCGTCAATGAACACTCAGGTGTCTGTAATTGAAAAAACAAACACGATTGTTCCTATACAAAAACAAAGTTATTTTATTGATTGTTAATACAATCCAATTTTCTTGTGCCTTTTAATCACAAGCCATTTAGCCATTTCGCGATATAAATTTTAAAGTAGATTTTTTGGTGAAGAAAAAATTGATTTCAAAATTTGTGCCTCTTTCAAAATAAAAAAAAAACATTAATTTTGTAATTTTTTTTATAATACATATTCATTACAATATACAAAAAAATAAATCAGAACAATCAATATTTGTTTCATATTACATTATTTCGTACAAGGAGAAACTAAATAAAAAAATATGAAATAATATAAATATATATACAACGTGACTTAAAAATCAAATATTTTGGGGTCTATAAATTCTTTAATTCACATGTGTCTGAACAGTCAAATGCAAGATGTCAAACAAGTTCGTACAATTTTTGACCACAAATGTTGATACCATCAAAACTCATGCGAACGATACATTTGATGCGAAACGAATCGAACTTCGTACATTTACAATACTATAATGAATTTATGAATCATGACACAAGTGACAACATACAATCGTTGAAATCTGTTGTTCAAGGTGCACCCTTTCTTATTAACGGATTAAAAATGCGATTCCACCAGACAGCAACAAGAGTACATAAGAGAGAAGAACGCAATATTATGCAAGGATTTTACACATTAGTAGACGATTGTTGCTCACTCGCTCGCTTGCTCGTTCAAGATCATCACATTCCTCTTCGCGGCGCGCTCGGCACCAATAATTGTAACGCGGTCATTGCATCGGGAAATAACGAGTGATAATTCACTACCGGCACATAAGCTGCGGTTATAACGCGGCCGGCAAACCATCGACCGTGCAGCGAGTTCACAGCCGCCACGGCAGTCGCGATTGACGGACACTTTACGTAAACATTGCCTTGTGGTGATGCTTGGTCCACGTATACATGCAGAACGCCACCGTGCTTGTTACATTCCTCAATCACATCATCGCGGATCTCTTTTGCCCAGTTAGGATTTGTCTCACTAGAAACAATAATGTCACAAATTATAATTTCTGATTTATTTTAATTATAACTTATAAGAAAATTTTTTTTAAAGACTGTTAGGAACAATATTTTTTAATTAAGGTTTAAATTAAAAAACCTTTAAAATGCAGGTATCTTGCGGAATGTGATTTATTATATATTACAATTCATTAAATAACTTTTTAATTTAAATATTAGGTATAGTCAAAAGAAATCCATTATTTTTCCAATAAATGGCTTTAGTAATCTGTATCTCGTCTATGCGTGGTACAGATTACTAAAGCCATCTATTGGAAAAATAATGGATTTCTTTTTACTACACCTAATATTATTAGAGCTTATATAATTAAATTGTTTAATTAATAAGATTAATATGTGATGATTAATAGAGATGTGCGAACTACTCGAATATGAATCGAATCGAATCAGACAAGATTCGATTCGGATTTAAATTGCTGCGATTCAAATCCAAACTGTCCGAAAATTTCAAATTTAAAAGAGTCGAATACAAATCACATGTATTAAATAAATCATATATAACTAAAACAGCTAATAACTAAAACAGGACCCATATTATTGAAGTAAAAGGTTATTAAGTCTATTTTTCATAGCTGAATATTGAAGATATCATTTCACGAGATGCCGAAAAGCAGTGTCAGTGTG